AGATTCCAGATCAAAAGCTTTACCTTCAAGCACAAGGTAGTGGGCATCCACCCATTTCGCTTTTCTTGCCAAACTTGACCTTCTAGGCATGGTGGAAGATGATCCAAAGCTCAACCAACAAAGCCCACAACTTCTTCTTCTTCTCACTCACACTCTCGTTGCTCTCTCTCTCTCTCTCTCTCGCTGCACTCTCTCTCTCGCGCGCTGCTCGGCGACGCGGCTACAGCAGATCGGCGGCGGTAGTGCGGCGAGACTCCGGCGGTGGCGAGGCGGTGGTGCGACGGGCAGGCTAGTGGTGCTGGGCGACGGGGTGGGGTGGTGTCGGGTAGGTCACGGGTAGGGAGAAGGAAAAAGATGAAGAGAATTTTGGGGAAAGAAATTAGGGATTTGGGTGAGATTGGGGAAAAAGATGATTAAATTTGGGGATTTTGAACAAAGTGGGAATTTAAGGTTTAAAAGGAATTAAAATGGGTTAGGTTTTAAGAAAGATAATTAGCTCAAGTGGTTTAGAGGTTGGGTAGAAAAGAAATAGGCTAGGGTTTGAAACTCAAAGGTTACAAATAAACATTAGGCTCAACTTTTTTAGGCTACACGAGGAAAAATTTTGGTAGGAATTGCTATTTTTCCAAATCAAAGAATACTTGGAAAATTTAGGGAAAAGCATAAGGAATTGTTGTAAGAACAACCAAGTACAAAGGTGGAATAAAATTGGGCTACACACAAGATAACTCAAGGATAGATGGCTACCACAAAACAAGATGCCAACTAAAGAAAACACTTAACAAGAAAAGAGTCTACACTCAGCATCCAACGAAAAACTAACAAGGAAAGCATGCCGAGGTTTGCCAAACAAAGACAACTACGAAACACAAGATAGCACCCAAGGCAACAAAGAACACACCACTCTCGGGGAAACAAGGATAGGCTCGAAAACAAGGGTTACCTGCTAACTCCTCCTCCACCAGACCCTCCGACTCCGCCTGCGAACGCGCCATCACGAAAACCCTCCCTGGCGGCCTAGCTCCGACAGCTCCGTGACCTGAACTCCCTCTAGATCATAAAGATCACCAAAAGATCATAAAGATCCTACCTTTAAGAAAAAGACAACTAAAATGGAACCAAAAAGACAAGACAAGCTTAGATCTTACCCTTCTAGATGCCCAAATAGATGAAAGATTGAATCTTGGAAGCAAAACTTGGAATCTTGACAAAGGTCTCACTTGGCTTGAAGAACAAGCAACTCTTCTTTTCTAGAGAGAAGGTAGAGATATTTTCTAGGAATTGTGAGGAATGAAATGAAGAAGTCTTCTAGGTTTAGGTTACAAAACTAGCTTTTGGTGAAAAGACAAGGATACCCTTACTAACTCTTAGAAAGTGTAAGGAACAATGGAATTTCTCTCAAAGCACAAGGTACAACACAACTTAAAGGTTGACTAGTCAAACACTAGTCCTTGAGTATTAAAAAAAATCAGGATTTTAGGAATCAATTCCTCAAAAGAAATAGAATTAATTACTCAATTAATTCATGGATTGGAGTATGGATTTTTGGGGTGTCACATCCTCTCCCCCTTCAAAGAAGTTTCGTCCCCGAAACTTGGGTACAACGAATTAAAACGAATGGTAACAAGGAAACAAAATTGTGACAAGAAGTTTCAAGAATATCCCTTTTGGTCAAAAACTCCAAAAGTACTCACAAGGATTCCAAAGCAAAGAAGAAAACATTACGAATTCAAGGATAGGCAGGAGGTCAACAAACGGATAGATTGAGCATCAAGAACTCTACCCTCAACACAACAACCAACTTCTAGCCAACAACCAAGAACTAAGCTACTAGCCCAAACACCAACTAACAAACCAGCTAAACAACAAAGCAACAAACAAAACAAGCAAGCACACAAAGCACACTACAACCTAACACCAAGCTACAACGGTAAGAAACAACAAAGAAGAAGCGAACGGGGTTACCACAACACAACTAGAACTCCTCACTCTCCGACTCTTCAGCCTCTTCAGACTCTTCTTCTTCTTCGTCTTCATCTCTGTGACTAGAACTAGCTTCAATCTGGTCCAGCCTCTGATGCACTGCGACAAACTGTGACTTCACAAACGCAAAGCCCTCGGAGATCAAACTGTTCTGCTAACGAAGCAAAGAGACAACGTCCTGCCCTCTCTTGGTGCGAACTTCTTCCCTTCTCCAGCGTTCCTCACTGTCTGATTCACTTACTTCAGCTTCGGCGGTCTCTGGTGCTCGTTCTTCTTCTTCCTGATCTGCTTCCTCCTCAAATTCTTCGTTACCACCTGAATCCCGCATACCATGAATAGGTTAAGCAAGATCAAAACATCCTGTCGCTATTGATTTCTTCGATGTTGGATGAGGTCCTTCATCTTGCTCTCGGACGGCACACCTCCGCGGACATTTGGACTTCCATCTCCCGCGCTCTCGACTCCACCAGTCAAGCACGATGCCTGAGTCTTCTCGGCCAGATGCAGCTTCTTCGTCAAGGGAACTCCAACACGTCGGATTACCTTTCACGGGCTGGCGTTCTTGTGGAGTCTCTTCTCTAAGCTGGGCGGCCTTTATCATTAATGGAACAGAACCTGTATGTGATTCGAGGCCTTCGACCGAAGCTCAAATCACTTGCTACGTCGCTGACTGCATCCGGCACACCGGTGCCCTCTCGCACATGTCAGATTATCTCTCTGCGCACGAGTTTATTCTCGTCGATGATTATCCGGCTGGGGATGGCAGCTCCTCCCATTCGGCGTTCTATGCAAGTCCTGGTTCTGGCCGTGGCTCAAATGGAGGAGGTGGACGGCATCCACAGGCGCAGCAGCGTAGCTCGAACAACCGCGGCAGTCATGGCGGTAATCAGCACTGTGGCGGCGGTCGTGGTGGTCGCGGAGGTCCGAGGTGCCAGATATGCCGGTCTCACGGCCATTCAGCGTTATATTGTTATCAGCGGTACAGCACTCCCCCACTGGCTCAGGCTCACGTGGCCGTCTCAGGTGAGATCCCGGCTGCACCGCAAAATATTCCAGGAGATGGTTGGTATCCCGATACGGAAGCCACAGCACACGCCACACCGGATGCTAACATGATGGGTCAATCGGAAGAGTACACCGGCGCGGATGTTCTACGAGTAGGCAACGGCGCAGGTTTGGTTATTTCACGAATTGGTCGTGCATTGATCCCTTCCGAGTCCAAATCTCTACGTTTAAATAATATCCTCCATGTCCCGAGTCTATCTGTACCTTTGTTATCTGTTCATAAATTCACTATGGATAACAATGTTTTTTTTAATTTCATAATAATTGTTTTATTGTGAAGGATTCCACAACTCGGGCAGTGCTTCTTAGAGGTCCAACGGTTGGCGGGTTATACAAGCTCCCGGTCTCCCGTCCAAATTTTGCGTTCGTCAGTTCCCGGGCTACCCCCGCAATTTGGCATCGCTGGCTTGGTCATCGACACAAGCTAGTGCTGAATAAAATTTTGCAAAGCTGTCCGGTCACAACTAATAAAAACGAGCCCCTTGAGTCTTGCCCGTCATGTCACCTTGGAAAGTCATCCCGATTCAAATTAGATAGTGTGACACATTCCAGTAATAATGTATTAGATTTGGTATTTATAGATATTTGGGGACCTTCTCCTGTATTATCAAATAGTGGCTATCGTTATTTTTGCTTATTTGTAGATGATTTCTCCAGATTTTGCTGGTTTTATCCATTAAGGATGAAATCAGACATATATAAAATATTTGAATCGTTCCGTGTCTTGGTAGAACGCCAATTTGCGCGTTCTATCAAATCCATTCAATCTGATCTAGGGGGTGAGTACCGTAAGCTACACAAAATATTCCAAACACTTGGCATTAATCATCGCCAATCGTGTGCCTACACACATGAACAAAATGGGCGAGTAGAGCGACGCAATAGACACATTGTCGAAACTGGCCTAGCTCTACTCGCTGAAGGACAGGTACCCCATGAATATTGGGACTATGCCTTCGAGTCAGCCACATGCTTAATCAATTACCTACCCACTGCTACCCTAAACTATGAAATCCCATACACTCGCCTATTCAAAGTCACCCCTCCCTACACATTTCTTCGTGTCTCCGGGTGTCGCTGTTACCCACATCTAAGCCCTTACAACAGGCATAAGATTGAGTACAGGACTACCCCATGTGTCTTCTTAGGTTACCCTGTTTCCTTTAGGGGATATCGATGTGTCGATTTGATTAGTGGAAAAACTTATATCTGTCGTCACGTCCGCTTTGACGAGACTGTGTTCCCTTTTTCTACAGGCAGGTCACAGCAGGTGTATCCACCACCAGCTTTACCTTGGGCGGCTGCACCTATCACTCATCCACCTCCGCATGTCACACCGGCACCTGCCCCGACACACTCTGAGAGTGAACCCGTCCCCTTGGCACGGGACCCTCCGCAACTAGCCATTACTCACACTGCTCCGGCTAGGACCCGCAAGCAGCGAGCTCAGCCTGAGAGTCGGGACCATGTTATGCGATTACGTCACATGACGAAGGGCACTACTGAGACGTTTCATGCGTTAAATGCAACTGTTGATCCCACATGCTACTCCCAGGCGGTGGGCCATGCACACTGGCATGAGGCTATGGACCAGGAGTTCAATACCTTATTGCACAATGACACTTGGAAACTGGTGCCACCAGAACCGCACATGAATATAATTGGGTGTAAGTGGGTCTTCCGCACAAAGCGCAACGCTGATGGGAATGTAGAACGGTACAAGGCCCGGCTGGTTGCCAAAGGGTTTAACCAGGTCGCAGGCGAAGATTTCTTTGACACCTTTAGTCCTGTAGTCAAACCGACTATGATTCAGATGTTGCTCTCGTTGGCTGTATCCAACAAATGGACTCTCCGGCAACTGGATGTCCACAATGCTTTTCTTAACGGTCACTTAGCCTAGACCGTATATATGAAGCAACCTCCGGGGTATGAAGATCCCACTGTACCTGGACATGTGTGTCATCTTCAGCGTTCCTGGACATGTGTTCAAGCGGCTACATGATTTCCTGTTATGTACCGGTTTTAAGTCATCCAAAACGGATGTTTCGTTGTTTTACTTTGGTATAGGTGACTCACGACTGTTCTTACTGGTCTACGTAGATGACATCATTCTGATGGGTAATGATGCCACTCTCATAAACACATTCCTGCATCGTCTCTCCGCGGCATTCAAGATTCTTGACCTGGGTACTCCGGGCTTCTTTTTGGGTATTGAAATGTTATCGGCAGGCAATGATGTAGTGTTATCTCAACGGCGGTATATGACGGATCTTCTAGGCCGTGCTGGCATGGCAGATTGCAAACCACTATCCACTCCGGCTGTTGTCACTAAAGTAGCTACACCCTCTAGTGATTCTTTTGATAACCCGACACAGTACAGGCACGTGGTCGGAGCCTTACAGTACCTGACTATTACCAGGCCTGATCTGGCATATGCAGTCAACCGACTGTGTCAGTTTATGCATTCACCGATGACGAAGCATTGGGGGCTTGTAAAGTGGGCACTTCCTTACACAAAGGGTACCTTGGGCTATGGGCTTCGACTGACTCCATCCACCTCGTCCAGCATACATGCCTTCTCCGACTCGGATTGGGTCGGCTGTCCCGTAGACCGGAAGAGTTAGAGTGGTTTTGCCGTCTATCTTGGGTGTAATCTGATTTCTTGGCTCTCGAAGAAGCAACGCACTGTAGCTCGTTCCTCTCCTGAAGCTGAGTATAAAGCTTTGGCTGATGTGTCTGCTGAAGTCACTTGGGTAGTTTCCTTACTTCGGGAACTCGGTCTAAATTCTGGGGATCTAGCCACGCTATGGTGTGATAATCTTGGTGCGACTTACTTGTGTGCTAATCCAGTTTTTCATGCGAGAACCAAACACGTGGAAATCGACTATCATTTTGTACGAGACAAAGTGGCTTCCGGAGACTTTGTTGTTAATTATGTGTCCACGACAGATCAGCTGGCCGACATCTTCACCAAACTGCTACCGGCCCCTCGATTCGCCCTTCTGCGTAACAAGCTCAATGTTGTTCTTCATCCACCTTGTGCTTGAGGGGGTGTGTTAGTAATATTATATTTTGTGTTATATTATATAGTTGTTTAATATGTGGTATTTAGAATAGTTGACTTAGCTTGTTATGTCAGTTAGGATATTGTTAGAGTTTTGTTATAGATAGACTCTGTATGCCTATTGTTGTGTTAATGATTAACGATCCTTTTCCAATCGTCACAATCAACAAAACCCACCTAACACAAAAAGGGGAAAACTTAGATAGGATCTATAACCCAAAACATAAAACCATAATCTTTATTACTTACCTCTTCTAAGCTTGGTGATGGGGAATAATCCTAACTTGGTAACCTTCAATGGTAGACAAGACGGGGATTCCTTTGGCTAGGTTCTTGGGAGGGAATTTTGTGTGGTAGAGAGATGTGTGAAAAATGGTTCTAAGTGTTTTCTAGTCCCCTTTATATAGTTTTAGGAATCCTAATGAGAATCTGAATAGTAAAGGGGACCCACTTTCTTTATTTTAACAGGCTTGAAGGTTTTATTAACGACAAGAGTCCACGGTCCATCATGGACCATATTATTTAATTAAGGGATCCAGGGCCAAATTAAATTCTTTTAACCACTCCTAACAAAATTTATTTAGGATATTGACGGGAACTTACGAATTAATTAAATTATTAATTCGGGTTTAGAGGGAAAAATTATTGGGTGTTACAATGTGACACCCCAGAAATTAATTCCTTAAACCCGAATTAATTACTTAATTAATTCCTAATTACCCTTACAATTCTTTTCATAATTCCCATTGAATTTAGTTAAGGGATCTAGTTTGACCCAAATCCCTTAACCTTTTAAATTGGTCAATGGGTGGGACCTTATGCTTTAACCTTTGCACTCTAGCCTTTACTTAAAAGAAACCCTTCTAGCCTTTATGTGGAAAGAAGAAGTCATTTTTGGTCATTTCACAATTTCTAGCTTGAGACCCACGCCATTTGCTAGACACGCTCACCCTAACATTCCCACACTTAGCCAAAACTCTTTCTGTCAACACTTTAGCTTCTTCTTCAAGCCACCCTAACTCTCCCATTCTACCCAAGAGAGCTCTTCACCCCTTCAACCAACAAAGTCAAGCAAGTTTGTGCCTTTCACCATCATCAAGCCTAGGAAGGGTATGTATTAGGTTTATTTAGCCTTACTTCTTAGTTTTGCTTCTTCTTTATCTAAATTTTTCTTGTGCTTGTTGGGTTTTTGGGTTCTTTTGGTGAAGATCACTTGGAGGAAGAGTTGCAAGAGTGTACTAAGGTGTTGGAAGAGGTTGGATAAGCTAAGAAGGTAACTCATGTCCTACAAAACCAAATTCTCCTTGCTATTATGATTTCTTGATGTTCTTGAGTGGAAATATGCATATTCTTGTGATTATGCTTTTGTAGAGCTTGTATCTAGGGTTCTTGATGCTATTTGTTGAGCTATTTCTTGTATTCAAGTCCATTTTGTTGTTCATGTGAGTATTGAAGTGTTTGGACTTGAGTTTGTGCATTCTTGGGATTTTTCCCGAAGTGGGAAATTCTTCTGCAGGGATGTACCAGTGGGTAGTTCAGCGGGCACTTCACCACCCGCCAAACCACCCTCCGGTACAAGGCATTGGGGCAGCGGGTGCTTCACTACCCACCAAACCACCCGCTGGTACGGGTGGGTAGTTTAGGCGAGTAGTTTGCCTCCCGCTAAAACCGCCCACTGGTACGTCGGTTTTTGGCTTCCGTTTTGTTGACCCATTGTGTACTTGTGTGTCTTGATTGATGTCTCGTAAGTCTAGAGCGATGTATTAAGTATCATTTGGTAGGATTTGGAGTCTTGAATCGTATTGTAATCTAATATTGTGATTCGTTGGATTCTAATGAAGTTTGTGTTATTCGTATAAGTCTTTGTGACTACCTTGTTGGCTTGCATGCTAGTTACATTGCTTATTGGTACTAGTATGTGCTTTCCTTGTGATTACCATCATGTTTCTTGATTGAATTGGTACTTGAGCTTATCTATTCATTGTAATTCCTTGATTGGAATCCTTGATATTGTTGTATTGTCTTTGGAGTATCCTATTCGTATCTCTTTGGTGAATTCCTTTCATTGTGAAATTGTACATTCATTGTACATTATCCTTGTTGATTCTTCAATTAGGCTATTTTTTGAACTTTTCCGTTGTGATACACAATTCGTTTGGAATCTATGCTTTGCTTTGTATCTCTAGATTCCTTGTGTATTGACTCTTGTTGAGATGTTAGCTTTGTTGTGATGGACAGTGGGGGCTTTATTAATACCGGGATTCGAGATACTGGTATTATTTGAATCGGGACTAGTCCCCGCGGATTGTTACTGAATCGGGACTTTGTGTCCCCACGGATTTGTTACTTTGTCTTCGGACCAGGTCCTCTGACCCCGCGGAAACCATAATCGGGACTTCGTGTGCCCGCGGAAATCTCTAATCGGGTCTACGACCCTGCGGAATCCATACTAGGGTCCTTTGACCCCGCGGTACACATTAGTTATAGGCCCTCATCCTTGTCCACTTTGTGATTCGAGTCGTTTGGTGACTCCATGGTGAATGACATGGTTTGGCTATGTCCTTTGTGGATTTGAAACCTTGTCAGGAATGGATTGATTGTGCTACTTGTTGTGAACCACCTTGTTATTGATTATGCTTACATTACCTTGATTCGTTATCTATTGCTTCATTATCTCTTGATTCGTATCTCTTGATTTGTTATCTCTATTCGTTGATTTGTGTTTGAGTGGTATTGTGGAGTACTTTGTTGTATGGTCAAAGTATTACTTCTACTCCTCGTGTTTTGAAAGCTAGAGTTGTTTATGAATGTATGTATGTATTCGCAGGTCTCAAATGGTTTTTACCAATAAAGTATATATATATAGCAATGGTTATGATCGACGGCCACTACTGAGGGAGCACAATGGTTATGTGCACTACTGAGTGGCATGGTTATGTGTTTTGCAAGTGCATGGTAGAAGGGTGCACTGGAGTTGTGAACCACTGGATCTCCAACATCAACGCACCACGTTAGTGCACAAATTCACATTTTAATAGCAATGTGCAGCAGAAAAGCACCCTATATATATATATATATATATATATATATATATATATATATATATATATATATATATATATATATATATATATATATATAATACTCAACGCGTTGGAGTGGGTTACTTAGCAATTTTCGCTAACGGTTGTTATACCTTATGTTTTCAGGTACTTAGTCAATCCTAGAGCGCGTAGTGGAGCCCGGTTCAGACTAGCTTTATCTTTCCTCTAGTTCAGTTACTTTGGCCTGTGTGCCCTTATACTTTGACTTTTGGATATTAGTTTTTGTAAGCCTGTGCATAAAGATAGGAAATCTAGATGTGGCATAACTGTAACACCCCTTAATTTTTTAAAAACTTTTAAAACTTATATAATAAAGACAATTCTATTATTAATTCCTAAACAGAGCATAATCTAAGCATAATAGTCGGGGTGCTATGCCACATCTAAGCTAGAGAACTTAGATGCACAAGCTAAACTAACTAACAAAGCATAAACTGTAATTAATATCCAAATACAAAAACCAAGGCACGCAGGCCATCTCATCAAAGCTAAAGTTATCTAAACTATGTCCACGAATTCAACTAGCGCGCTCCGAGCTACTGATCTACACCTGAAAAACATGCGGTGTAACAACCGTCAACGAATAATGCTGGTAACTCACTCCCACGCGTTAAGTACAACATAGGTAGATATAAGAAAATCGTTTTGAAACTGGAATACATATATATCTTACGAGACTCTAATTTAAATCCAAGATCAAGACTCAAGATACGAAAACGGACTTGACACCATGAACAATCATAAAGATACTAGCATGCATCCTAGGGTCACAAGACAACACAATAACGAGACTCACAGTAATCAACAGTAACAACAATAGAACACCACAACATTCGACAATCAATTACAACAATCACATGTCCATGTTCCAACATTATACCAAGGTTCTTCTCTAAGATTTTCCTCCGATTGATATCCCTAGGCTTGGTGGCGGGGAATATCTTGGCTCGGTCTCTTGGGGATATTTTCATGTAGTATAACTATGGGTGGTGAGGGGTTCTAATTGCTTTCTTATCCCCTATTTATAGAGTTAGGAATCTTAATTAGAATCTGAATAATAAAGACTTACTTTCTTTATTCCTAACAGGTATCTAGGTCTAGGATTCCTAGTTAGAATCTGAGTATTAAAATGTCTACTTTCTTTATTCCCAACAGATATATAGGTCTAGGATTTCTAATTAGAATCTAAATAGTAAAATGTCAACTTTCTTTATTCCTAACAGGTTTAAGACTCTAGTTTAGGCAAGGGTCCACGATCCATGATGGACCACACTAATTAATTTAGGGACCCTATCCAAATTACATCCTTTTTAATTATTATTAACGGGATTAATTCAACAATTAATCCCCGGTTTGAATGTCGTAACACGGGGTGTTACAATAACACCCCGGTTACTATGATTAGCTTCTGCTGGATTTAATTATGATTTTGGTTAGGCTTTGCCTTTATTTACTA